TACACACATTGAATTTTATCCTCTGTTCAATGGACAAAAACCCAAGTGTAACAAGCATGTCTTTTATCCTAGTATATCGATTTACATTTAATATCACTCGCATCGCTCTATTTTGTAATATTTGTAGTTTATTCAGGTACTTCTTGTCAAAGTTCAAGAAAATAGAACTACAGTATTCCAGGTGCGGAGATATAATGCTTTTAAACAAGGTTACTTTGGCAAAATTACTTAAAGTGAATCTTAATCTACTCATACAATTTATTTTCTTGTGAACTTTGCTTATAATCCATTCGGCATGCTCATTAAATTTCAATTTATTGTCAATTATTACACCAAGATATTTGGTTTTACTAACTTCTTCGACTTGACAATTATTAAACATTATTTGACATTTTTCTACAGAATTTATTTTTCTACTATCACAGATTAACATAAATATAGTTCTTAATATTAATTATTAATGAGTTAGGTTTCATCCAATCCCTTAAACTATGAAGACTTTCATTTAAGTTTACTTCGATATTTTTTTTGTATCTACTGCTCTTCCAAATTATCAAATCATCAGCAAACAACTACATTCGCAACCTACTGCTTTCAAATCATCTATTACATCATTGATATACAATATAAATAACAGTGGTCCTAACTTAGACCCTTGGGGGACACCATGTAGTACCTTTTGCTTATCTGATAAAACATTATTAATTTTAACTTGCTGTGTTCTATTGTCAAGATACGATCTGAACCAATTTAATACTTTGCCTCTTATTCCATATTTATACATTTTATTTAATAAATGTGTTCTACTAATAGTCTCAAAGGCTCTTTTAAAATCAATGAAGACAACTCCAATCATATCTCCATTATCAAACACGTTTCTCCACTTACTTAAGACTTCATTAAGTAAGGTTTCACAAGAGTGCTTGCTTCTGAAACCAGACTGTTCACTTTTAAGAATATTATTTTTATCAATAAAATTTAATAATTGGTCTTTAACTACTTGCTCTACTATTTTTTCCATAATTGGCAAAGTATTAATTGGCCTGAATTCATCAATTTTATTTGTATTAACTATTTTTGGAATTGGATGAATAATAGCGTTTTTCCAACAATCAGGTACTGTAGCATACTTCAAACTTACATTTACTAAAACCTGGATAATACTGGGATTTAATTCCCATAGATTTTTCCATGCTACTCCAGAGAAGGAAATATCACAGTTTTTACTATTTTTTAATGTTCTAACAATTTTATTTAAATATTCCTGTTCAACCATTTCAAACTCATCAAAAATCTCAACACATACATATTTAATATCACTTATAACAGTATTGCTTCCATCATTTTGAACTATCTCATTAATACTATCTAAGAAAAATTTATGTATGTATGTATGTATGTATGTATGTATGTATGTATGCATGTATGTATGTATGTATGTATGTATGTATGTATGTATGTATGTATGCCTGAGTTATAAACACGCCTCCGTATGTGAACATTCGACCAACTCTATTGCCTCCGATTCCGGAGGTCGATGCATAAATTCGGCGGTCACTGAGTATTTCCATGTAAAAATTTACCACTCAATGATAAATGTTTCACGCACGTTCTTTTTTTATCATTAATGAGTAAAAAGGGACTCGATAATAAGATAATAAGTTAATGAATATAGGTTTGTACAGATATACGATAAACGAAAATAATTTTAAAAATTTTTGCGAAGGAAAAGTTATTTTGAGCCAATAAATAATTTCCTTTTACACAATATAAAATTTATTCATTTTTGGGAAAGAACATATTAAATTTTAGAACTCATTTATAACTTCATTTCTATAATTACAAAATAATAAGAAATGATTTATTCTTAAGTAGTGCAAAAGAGTTGATCTACTAAATGAACCTTTATTGATGCTATCGAAACTACATCTATTAGTATAAAAATGCAAATATATGTGATCAAATAATAAAACTTATTTTCTAGTTTTTTACTATGCTTATATAGTTAGTTAATATATAATCAAGATAATTATGTAATTATAAGAATCTTAATGCTAGAAAAACAAATCTTATGAATGAAATGATTAAATCAACTAATCTTCATTCTGGAATGTATTATAGACGAAGGTCTTTATACCGACCCAATCCTTGTCTTCGTATAAATCCGGATATTTATTTTTAAATGTTTCACAGTCAGATTTTCTTGGTGTTATTTTCCGTTGAATATGGGACTTGAAGTACGAATTTATAATTGATTTTTGTTTTTGCGTCCAACTACATCTTCCTGTTTGTTTGCAAGCTGTATTAAACAAGAAATTTTTATATTTTGAGTAATAAATCAAATAAAATCAGTGCAATCAGAGAACTTGCGGAAGAAGATTATTCTCCATTAGAATAATACTTACGTTTAATCGTCGAATTACTTGACGAAATACTTGGACAATTAGCTGTCATATTAGCTAATGAATTACTCGACAATTGATTTGTTGAATTAGTTGACAAATCAGTCAATGAATTAACTGACGAAGTTGATTGTTCTGGAGGGAGTTCCAAAATTTCATCGTCTTCAGAATCTTCCATATAAGCAATGTCCGATTCAGGATAAATATCAATCTCGTTCAGAGATTTTCCTTTGTGGCATCCACCCTTGTCCATGATAATTAGGAGTTTTGATATCTTAGCTGTCTGATAGGTATCTTCAGTCAGTCTAAAACAATTATAGAAATCACAATAGTATATTGTAGACATTATTTCGAGTAATGTTTCGAATTAATTTTTAATGTAAATAATCAATCGAATTCATCAATTGAAACTATTATATATGTACAAATGAATTATTTTAATAATTAATCAAACAATAATGTAATTCACTTACGTATAAAAATCATCATGAGTTTTTCCCGTGTGACCCATGAATTTTGCGAATTGTTTTGCTTCTTCTTGACTGAGGTTCAAAATCTGCATGACTGTGGCAATTTGTTTTCTCAAGTTATTAGAAGTTATGTGTTCGGGATGACCAATGTTACACTCTCGAGAAAACTTTCGAAGAACCGAATCAGCCCTGATCCAACTGTTACTATCAGGATGTGCAAATAAATATATATTGCTTTGAGGAACGAGATCTGTTTTCATTCTAACGTCTATAAGGGTATTCATTAGTTCTTGGAGGTGTAGAGAAAATAGAATGACGATTGGCCGACTACCCTTTCCTCCACTTATCACTCTCTTATAGTGCTCCGTTAAAAACTTTTCTGATGATGACAATGAATTCACTAATTCTTCCTGGTTGGTAGATGAAAAATTACGAAGATACGTCATTAACTCTGTATATTGGACATCTCCTGGACGTCTTCTCTTATAAAGAATAGTCAGTACAAGTAAAGTATTCACCAATTGTTTATATTCCTTCGCGTTGTTAGGATTCTCTTTTAGAGCAGCAATAGCAATATTCGCAGTCTTTAAAATATGCTCCTTTAATTTTAAAATGTCTTTTATTAAAGGCAAAATTGTAGGCCGATTCCATTTTTGTTCATTGAGCGTTTTAAATGCGAGACTACTTATCTCCTTCATCCACTGTGTATTCACTAAATCTCTAAAACGTTCAAGTTTTAAAGAAGAAGTTCTAAACGAAAAGTGTATTCTGAAGAGAAATAAAACATATTCTGTACAGTTTTATACATTATGACCTACCCTGAAAAACAATTAGCTAGTTCCAAAAAAAAACTTATTACATATATTTATTGTATGAGTTCATTATTAAGTAAAAAAAAATCTCTCATATTATATTTATTTTCCCTCGGATTGATTTTATTTTTTCTATAAAAAAAATTCGTTTTAATTTTGATGTGATAAAAAATGCCAATGATGGATGAAACAGATAAAAAAAACCACAACTGTTTTGAGTTGATCATATCATAGCTCACATAGATGAAACAAAGATAGTGTTCGAGCTGATATTTTTTCCTATCAGCTCGACAGTCATAAACATTTACATTACGATAGGTAATTAACTATTAGTTATAGAAAGTTTAATTAAATAGCTCAGATAAAATTATGTATTAATAAATCAAAAGTATTTTTTTTTATCTACAGAAAAAAATATATTTTTTCGTATTCAATGATTATGTAATTTAAAATACTCATTTTCAATTTTCATCTATTGTACATTTAGAAGACTTCAATTTAACTAACTTTAACAAGATCATAAATTAGATTCCATCAATAATGTTCTGCGTTGAAAAGAATTGTTTTTCATTTAATATTAATTAAAATTAATCTAAAAATTTTGTTGTGTTGATGCGGAATTGTTTTTCACTTACCATCATTATCAGCTGCTTTTTCTTTACTTGAAGAAGTTGCTTTTCTCAATGATCTTCTTCCTTTCTTACACTGAGACCTAATATTGCAAATGAAACTAACAATTTGAAATACCGTTCAGAAATTTTTATTATTAATCATAAGATAATATATTTTCGTTTATTATAGATGTTACGTCCTGACTTATTATCCTGAAATTAAATGACATTTCCAAGTTTAGGGAGCTTTTACAAACGATAGGTAAACAGGGAGTCAGTTGATCGAAGTAATTCCCATGTAAACACGCTTAACAGTTGTGAAGCTGCCGATAATACAGCGCTCTCACCTTAATGCGTTGAGAACCGCGAAAATTTAAATAGGGGAAACCGAAAAATTTACCCGACGTGCGGAATATTAGATGAATAGATAAACGAAAGGAAAATATAATAAAAAAACGGGAATAAAAAACGAAAAGGAAAGGAAAAGAAATTAAATACTCACCGTTGGAGCTGCTGGATTGCTCATGGTTGAGAAAATGATGCACACACAAACAACACAAAAAAAACTCCAAAAGGAAAAGGTCCACTAAATTAGTCAGTCCACCCCGCAAAAATGTCACTGGGGATAAATGGCTGGGTAGTTATTGGAAGTTTTTAGGGATCATCAAAATCACTTTAAAATCCAGCAAAACCTCGTCACTCAGGATGGTGATTCCTCTGCCGGTGGGTAAAGTGGGCTTCGGTGGCTCCTCCTGAAAAATCGAGGATAGCTGGGCGCGTCCCCTGTGGTGGTCCTTGATGATCCTCCTCATCTGCACCCTCCAGCCCGCTCTGATGCCTCGCCTTCTGGATTTACCCATGAGGGGATGCACACATGGTTCTCACAGTTCACTTTAACTTAAAATTTCACAACAGTAATCCAAAAATATCCAAACTGAGGGTTGGGTCCCCCACTTGAGATCCAACTACAAATAGCGTTCGCTCGAACTATTCTAGAGAAACGTCGAAAGGTAAAAATTCGCGCACTTGTGAAGTAAATAAATTCAAACAAATCGAGTCTAGGAAAATGGGGAAAAAGGAACGTCTCCGCTCTGGAATGTTGTTTGCACGCGTTATACAAAACTGCGCCTCAGAACAGCAAACTCAGAAACGTAGCGTGGAGAAATGTAGGAATGACTGCACGCGTTATACAAACTGCGCCTCAGTCATGTGGGTGTAGAGGAGGTAGAGCATAGGGAGTAGTAAAGAAAAAGACTGATAGATAGTTTTGAGGGTTTTATTAATTATAATGAATTTATATACCTCACAAGGAGTGACAAGTTCACTCTTTGAGATTTGCAGATCAACTGAGGAGAAAAATCACGTCAGCGACGACGGCGGCTCAGGAACTCCGTGCTCGACGTTGCTGTATCCATGGTGATACAGGTGCAACGTCAGGACTTTTCGGGCAGATTTGACAACGTCGAGCCTTCTAGGCCTTATCGCTGATGTCGGCTTTCTTCTCGCACATTTGATATTTTTCTTGAAGATCAAATTGTTTTCTTTATGATACATTATTTTCAGGTTTTCTTGAATTTTCAGGAGCTGTGGTGCAGATACAGGTGTGCTGCCGCGGCTACCTGACTTATTTTATGAGGTTTCTTAACTATTAGCATTTTTAACGCCGAAAATAACGCGGTTCTTCGCGTTTTTAATTATTTGTAACAAAATATTACTTTGTTACATTAATACTGCTTATCACTAATTACTTAGAATATAGTCTTGGGAACGTCCGGTTAACAAATCCACATCTCACTTTGTTTAAACTTTTGCCTGACGCTGCGTGGGAACGCGCATCAGTCGGTGGACGTGTGTGTGTGTTGACATACACACACTTCATTTACGTATCCTATGTGAAAATAAAAAAATGTAAAATTTAGGGGATTTTTGGGATCCTATGTGATAGGGACGCTTATGAGGAACATACCTGCAAAAAATCGGCAGGTAAATATTTAATATTTATGGATTTGTTTAAAAATTAAAGTCGCTCTCCTCTTCATGAGGTATTAGGAGAGCATAAACGCGAGAAGTTATTGTTAGCCGTGCGCCCCACTCTGCCGGCCTCAAGGCCCCCGTCCATCCCGCCGCGCTAGCGGTGACGGGTGACCTTGCCGCTTGGCAACCTTAATCCTATTTTATTTGAAAACTACAAATTGCGTAAAAATTTTATAAAAACAATAAATTCTACCTTAATGGCATGATTAATTTTTATTAAAAAGATCCCTGAGTTGTCAGGGAATCAATTTGATTATACTTAAAATTATAAGATTAAATTGCTAGACACTAAGTCCGAGCGCGTGCGCATTAGCTTTCGCCTGCTGCACGTACATGTGCGTTGGACTTGGTGGTGGTTGTAACCTATCTGTTTAAAGTTGTAGATGTAATAGTATTTATTTTCTTTACTTAAAATCTAAGTGAAGTTCGTCAGGACGTAACAATAGATAAAATAATATTTTTAAACTATATTCATTTTTGACGTAAATAAATAATTTCTTGGCGACACTGTTTCAAATAAATTACAGTTAGTGTAAAAAGTATTTAGTCGGTTTACTTACGGATTCATATTATTTTTTTAATTGTATTTTTCAATGTTATATTTCAATATCACTTTTTCACATACTTCACACTAGCTATTACGTATGAAAATGAAAGCTCTACAGCATTCAATGCTGTATACAGCTTTGTTGATATTCATAGTGCGCATGAGCATACGGGGCAACTAATACTAGCTTAAAAACCGTCCGATTTTGTATAAAATATTACTTTTGTGCATATATTGTAATTATTCTGGTTTCAATAATTATATCTTCGGATGTTTAATAAAATATCAGTCAACAATTTATATTAGATACAGTTTCATATGTCAGCCATTAATAATAGGGTGTTGTTGTAGTTTCTTTACCTCCAAGAATAATAATCTACAGGTATGTAATTGTTATTAATTTGATGTAATCATTTTTTCGCAATAACGATTGACACTTAAATAGAGTTATAACAAATGATGATAAAACTTTAATTATTTCTTGAGGATGATGAAACAACTCCACTACTATCACAATACGATGAAACGATAAATGAAAAAGACGACGTTCAAGTAATATTAGATGAATTTTCAAGGTAAATATTCATGTAATTCTTTCAAAAATTTATTCTATGGTAGAAATAAGCATTAGATTTAATTTAAACCCCTTTTTGCACAGCAACTTGATCAACATAGAATCGATCGAGTCGAATGAATTAACAGATCTAGAAGTGGAACGATTATCCAATCTTTATAAAGAAAGACTAAAAAATTTGGATGTTACAATACCTGATCCCTCAATGTGTCTACTGAAAGATGTATCAACATATGTATCACAAAAATATTTTTATGCAACTATGTCATCAAGTGAGTATAATTGTAGGCAATTAATTTCGTTCCATTACTTTTCAAACATTTGCCATCTTTATTCAAATAGTTCTTTTTTAATTTTAACTTATAATGAGAAAAATGCCCTTAAAAATTACAAGATTTTTTTAAAAAACATTTTTTTTCATTCACTAACAGTAAATCGCATTACTGTATTAAGTTTTTATTTTACTTATGTTGGGCACAGTTCTTTCTTATTATAAATGAGCGTTTTTTTTGGTATTAAGAATTTTGACTCATTTAACATATTTTTTCGATTTGACTCGTGAATATTTTCTACTTTAAGTAGAAGATTTGATGGCTATATTTAAAGGTTGACTTTGTCGAAGTAGAAAATTTCGTGCGACAAGAATGACACGATAAAGATTTTTCTCAGTGTAATACGAAAAACCAGTCTTTTTATATGAAATTTCCTTTTATAACAATTGCTGTTAAATTTTCACAGAACTTAAGCAGGATCAATCGAAATTCGATCACAAAAGATCACAATCAACAGAAAAAAAGAATCACGCCGATCCCAAGAATAAAATTATAAAACTTATAACAAAGCATGGGATACTAAATATTGTCCAAGAAAATGGTCAACGAAAATTGGGACCTTTTCCAGGATGGACAGGACCTCCACCAAACCCCGAGTGTGAGGTGTATGTTGGAAACATTCCACGAGAAGTTTTTGAAGATGAAATGTATCCCCTATTTGCAAGTATTGGAGAAATCTTCCAAATTCGTCTTATCACATCCTTCGCAGGGTTTAACCGTGGCTATGGCTTTGTTATGTACTCCAATGTTGAGTATGCTAACAAAGCTATAAGTGAATTAACAGGTTACGAACTTCGTCCGTGTAAAAAGATTGCTGTTGTCAAAAGCATTAACAATTGTCGTTTATGCATCAACAGCTTACCTGAGAATCTTAACGTTCAAGAGTTTATTGACGTAAGAATTTTTTAAATAATAGATTATAGCTCATTCATTGTAAAAAAATATTTAGTAAGTAATTTTTAAAATGATAATTGCTTCCAGAAAATTTACATTATCACGGAAGGTGTTAAAAAAGTTGCAGTTTATCGTAATAGAAATAAACAGATCGTAAAAGCATTAATTTTTTTTTAAACTGTGTTTAACGATTATTATCATCCTCATTTGTAATATGAAGAGTAAAAAAATTTCTATGTAACATTTTAATTTTTTTTTCTGTTGAAATTTTTCGTTTTTAAATCAAAAGATTCACTACGAAGTAAGTTTATGTATTTATTTATTATTTAATTATCGTTGTGTGACATAAAGAAACTTGAAACAAAAAATCAACAATAATATACATGTACGATACACTGAAAAAAATCTAAATAGTTAGATTTACTATGTAAAGTTAATTTTTCATTTGAAAGCTCATAGTTGAGTCCTTTTCTTACTATAAAATGACTCAACTATGGAATGTTAAATAGAAAATTAGCATTGCATAGTAAATCAAACTTTTTCATTTCTCCCAGTGTATGTACGCAAATCTTTACTGCATAGACTGTTATACGATTAAAAATTTACACTTATGTATTCTGAAACGGCGAGCATCATATAAATCATATAGATTAGATAGTATTTTGTTAATTGATTTTTCATTACTTACATCTTAAAAATAGAATTACACGGAAAGATCAAAATTTGTAAATTTTACTGTGCTACATCATAATCTGTCGCTTTAGATGAAAAAACGATAACGATTTATCTTCGATAAAGACATATTACAATTCTTTCTTTTTGAATTAAGCGTTAGGCTACAACAAATTGAAGTAGAATTTACATTTGCTGGTTCTCAGTGTAGTTATCAGTAAATCTTATTTGATTATTTTTATATAGAGAAAAAATATTTGTAATCTATTATCATTTGATACGAATAAATTTATTAAGTAGTGAAAGTCAAAAGAATCTATGATTGATTCTTTACTTCTTTCAAACTCATTTTATAAGTATTACAACCTTCACCAAATATGAAATTTTTTAAAAACTTTTTTCAATAAAACATCAAACTATTGTTAATAATATTTAGTAAAGTCGATATAACTTTAGTAAATCCTAAATCTTTACACAAAGTTTTTATTGCATAGAGAACTCACCATTTCCTTGAAATCTTTCTTTATCACCGAAAGATCCCTACATCTGAATATTTTTTAGTCAGCGGAAAATGAATATTAAATTTTGAAAAAAAATCAGAAATTAAGCGAGTTACAAATTTTAAATGCCCGAAACGCACGACTAATCATATGAAGTGTGGCAACAGTGTTGGAGGTGTGTAAGTATGTACAAAAGCATAATCTATATACATAGGAGACTCTATTGCCCTAAAGTTATTCGAAGGCAAGTTGTTATGTTGTTTATAACATTTTTTTATATTTATAATAAAAAAAAATTACTTACCCCTCTTTCGATGTATTTGTTTATAATGCAATGCGATAAGATCGTACAATAATTTACACACCTTACAATGGATTTTTTTGAGGGGAGGTCTGGGTGCCTGATGTATGTAAGGAGGTGCATATAATATCTGGGCATATATATATATATATATATATATATATGTAAATATACCTAATGTATTATTTGGAGACAGGGGACTGGTATCCCCCTCTCAATTTTCAAAATTCCCGTGATGATCAGCCAGCGATTGATGATTGATTGTGGGACTGGTTCGTCCCAGCTGAGGTTGTGTAACTAGAGTTCTTGAAGGAGCATCTTAGCTCTGATTGTGATTGGTGACACAAACCCCAAAGGATCATAAATTTGAGGTTCTACTTCTAAAAGAATGAGGCGTTTTGAATATGTTGACTCATGAGTGACTGATTTTGATGTGAATGTGAATGTGTCTGAGCTTGGATTCTATTAAAGTCTAAGAATTTTTGTAGTGCAGTCTTCGAAGGTGATTTTTTGTTGATTGACTGAAGATTGTGACGTTTTTTGAAGAAGTGATTGACTGTTTAATTGCCATTTTGCGAGGGGAAAGCCGCCCGCCTTGCACAAGTTAATTAATTCCTCAGCAACTTGAATTAATCCCTCTGGAGAATCTGCTCCTCCAAATATGTCGTCGACATATCTGCCTTTAATGATTGTCTGAGTTGCTTTTGGATATTTATGGCCTTCATTCTCTACTAATTGCAGTAACACACGAACTACTAGATAAGGAGCTGATCTAGTGCCGTAGGTTACTGTTGTAAGTTGACATGGAATGATTTTGTTGTGATTGTCTAGCCAAAGAATTTGTTGAAGCTTCCAATCTCCATGATGAACCATTATTTGACGATACATTTTTGTTATGTCAGTTGCGAATACGTTTTGATGTTGACGAACCCAAAGAAGTACGTCAAAGATGTCTAATTGAATTTTTGCTTCATTATGAGTGATGTCATTCAATGAGATTCCAGTTGAACTCGGGCTGGATTCATTGAAGACAACTCTAAGCTTGGTGGTAGTGCTACTTGGTCTTAAAACCCCATGATGAGGAAAAAAGTATGGATGAATGACTTAAGATTCTTGATTGATTGTTGGAGCAGGTCTCAAATGACCAAGTTCTTCGTTTTCCTCCATGAATTGTCTGTAAAGATTGCTGTACTCATTCTCGTTGGTTAGTCTCCTCAACTGACGTTTCAAACATCGATACGCAGTTGTGTCGGAGTCTCCAAGAGCTGCAGGTGAAGAAATGAGTGGAATTCTGACAATGTATCGTCCTGATGGATGTCTAGAGTGAGTTGATTCAAAGAAATCTTCACATTGTTGGTCCAAGGATGATAATTGATTTGACATGGGAACTTCTTCATGGACCTAGAATTTTGTCAGCAACTCTTGCATGTTTTCATCGTTCGTGATTGTAGTAGCATGATAAATATGATAATTATTGACTGATGAATTTGGTGCTACTGGACCGAGAATTAGCCAACCAAAGATAGAAAGTTGAGCTATAGGAGCTGTTGGAGAATTATATATGATATTTTGCTCTATGATTTGTGCATAAAAGTCAGCTCCAAGTAGAATGTCTATTGATTGTGGAATATTAAATGTTGGATCAGCTAGTGTTAATCCATTGCGATGAGGCCCGTGATTGTTGGGATAATTACATGGCACTTTTGGAATTAAAGCTGTCAACTGTTTCATTATGTGAGATCGAATGTATACTGAATAATTGAATGATAATGATTGTAGCTCGCAAAATGTTACACCTTTTGTTTAAGTGAGCTTAGAGCTTCCCACTCCTCTTATGTTGATTGTCTGATGGTGTTTTCTCAGTTGCAGCAGATTGGCTAGATGAGAAGTAATTAATGTTAGCTCTGATCCAGGATCTATGAGCACTCGTGCAATGTAACTCCCTGAATGTGAATTGGCTTTGACTTTTGCTGTTGCTAACAGCGTTGAATGATCATCATGTAGATGACTTGGAATTGTTTGACTTGAGCAGATTGCTCTCGTCGATGATTGTCTACTAAATTGAGTTGATTTAACGTCACTTGATTGATGATTTTGTGTCTTTCTTCTTTGGTGATTGTCTGGTGTTGGTCAGTGATTTCTTGAGAGAATGACTGGGCTGAGCGTAGCCGAGCCATTTGAGACTTAATCTTGAAGGTCAATTGAGCTACCAAACTCCTCTACGCCATCGTCAGTAGTCACGCTGACTGTTGGTTGAGGTTTTGAGGTCTTGGACTCTTGGTCCTCACTCTTCTTTTATTGGTCGGCCATTTTGTGCACTTAAACACTTGATTGTCTTTGTCTTTTTCACTTGTGGCACCAAATTTATAGTACTTCACAACCGAGAGCTCTGATTCGGCTCGAAGGACCATTAAATGTTGAGAAAATCTCAACTTGTGAATTTAACCTACCCTTTTTATGATTGTGCCGGAACAGAGCAAACGGAAGTCAGGTTTTATAAAAAATAAAGAATCTTCATTTTAAGCACTAACAGGTACACTAGATACACTGACAACTTTGTGTTATTACTAGGAAGACTGAATGTCGCTCAAAATCACTGAATGTCTATTTTAATTATACTGAATCTAAATTGAATGTCCACAATATACTCAACTTGGTGTGTTCGGTATTATTGACCTCCCACACGAGCTCAGAACGCTTCTCAAGTTGAGCAAGAACGTGGCGTTAGCCTATCAATGCAATGCAAAATGAATTTGATGAAATGTCTTGAATTTACAATGAAATATCGTGAAATATTACTTGATTCTAGTTAAAGAATGAAGCCTGAATGTTCCTGATGATTTACAATAGCACTAGTACTGATGATTGACTCAAAACTTTCAGATTTGTTAAGAAAGAATATGAATGTCGTGTACACGTGAACGAGAACAGTGAAAGAATGGCGACAGGAACTTCATCAGTCAAAAGGGACACTAAAAATTAGTCAAATGATTGACTAAATTAAGAATTATTGATTATTTGGTTGATTGGTTATCGACCCAGTCCCAAGATGGCCGCCGAAGTCCCTGTCACCTGGCAAATTCAAACTGAGAATTAATTAATTAACAATTGATTCAACGAACTCCATGATTGAATCCCAAAAACGTAGCTCTGGCTTAATAGATAATCATAAAAAAATGGATTCATTCAATTCAAAATGTAAACGGTAATTCTGAGAACATCAATGAAAATATTTCAAAACCGATTCCATTATCAATAGTAAAAAATATCGTTGTTGACGATAGCTATATCAACAAAAATAAAGTAAAGACTTCAACTCAAGTTGAAGCACCTCCTGATAAGGATAGTTCACCGTTCTTTATCAATCATAATTCTAATGAATTACACCATTCTTTCAAAGATACTATAAATATTGAACATGACTACTCTGCCAAAAACAAATGTTAAAATCAGACGTTATCGTGTATCGAGTGATATTATCGATACTGAACATGATTATTGTATTCAAAATAATGTAGAATTAAATTATACCATAGGAACAT